GTGTGTGTGTGTGTGTGTGTGTGTGTGTGTGTGTGTGTTTGTGTAGGGGTCTTTGCTAAGTTGGCAGCTTTCTCCACTGACCTTAGGGAATGTTCTTGTAGGTCAGAAAAGGGTGGGCATCTTGTCCTTGGAAGGATCTCATTAGATTTATTGTTTCATTAGATTTATACTTCTAGGAAAAGATGATTCTAAAATTTTTAAGTCTTATGTGTGTGTATTTCCATTTCTCTCTTTATCTAACCCAGGACCCCCAGAGACCACAGGTGCAGACCTCAGGTAAGAGAGTATTCCTGTTTTCATGAACATTGCTCGCCACCTGCTGGCATGTACCCTTGGAGTTGTTATAGACTTTCCTACAAACTCCCGTTTTCTCTGATGAAACAGCTTCTCTCTGTGACACATCTTGCTATGTGCATCCAACTGTGCTCTTCTTCAGCTCTACCACAGGTGACCTTTATACTATTCTCCATTAGAATTTAAACTAACACCATGGGCCTCAAAACCAGCAACAAGGTGCTTTTGGTGATTTTTGCAGACAGTGCCACCCACTTGTATGTCTACATGTTTGCTGTCTACAGTGCCATGTGGGGATGCCATGGCTTACACTGGCTGAATACACACAGGCTATGGTGGGAGTATTATTTTTTTAAAACAGAGTTTCCTTATGTAGTCCAGCATGGCCTGAAGCTTGCTGTATTGACTAGGATGATCTCAAACTTAGAAAGATCTACCTGCCTCTGCTTTCCAAGTGCTGTGATTAAATGTGTGTAACACAATCTCTGGACATGAAAACATATGTCTCACTGGCACATACTCTTGCTGTTACAGTTTGAGAGAAGAATATCATGTATGTGCAAATCATGTAAACTCCTTTGAATGCAGTCCTGAATGTGGGAATATTCATGGATGATGGACTTATGCCTCTTTGGCTCAGAATTCCTCGGCTTGCTGTACCTTCACCTCCATAATTTAGGCAGAACTCTTAGGAGGGCATTTGTTTTACTGAAGTAGCAATTAATATTCTAGGTACCAACTCCAGAATATTTGTTACTATGAATTTGGCTGTACATAGAATATATATTGGGTGCTTTGTATTCTCAAATAGGCCCCAGAGAAAGGAATTCCTGCAGCCTCCGGATCTCACACTACATAGCTTTAGTTCTTTCCCTCTGATACAGTGCTGAGAAGTCCCCTTTAATCAGTTAACAGCATGAGTTGCAAGTCCCCCTGAGACTTAAGTTTACCAGGACGTTTTGCATCATGTCCAGGGAAGAGGCATGAAGCACCTGCTTGCCTTCGTGGCTCTGAGAGATATGCACTTCCTATTGTCAGAGAGTTGTTAAATATGTCTGTAGGTATAAAAAGAAGCCTTGTGGGATTAAAACAAACTTTTAGACACTTTTAAGAAAGAACTTTAGGGAATTTTAAAGAACTTTTAGAGAGAAATCTTAAAGAGAGATTTGAGAGAGAACTTTATTGGGAAGCCTCCATCTTTGAAGATTAAAGAGCCATGAGAGGAACGAATGTGTGAGCCAGTTTATTTCCCTTTCACCCTCAGGCCCCTTTTAGGAAAACCCTACCCTCCTGCTGTTTAGCCCCTAGCCTGAACCCTGAGAGAGCTCAAGGCTGGAACTTGAATGCTCTCGTTACATTTGTTCTCTGGGAGGTTGAAGGACGGTCGTTAGAAGGTTATCTGAGAACTTGGACTAGAATGAACAAGATCCAGTAAGATCCCTTGGCCATCTATAAATTTTCCTTTTTCTTAAACTTAACACTAGTTCTTAGGAGAAGAAATGGATTTAATTGTTTTCTTTCAGCATCCTTGGAGGAATTGACATATACTTGAGTATGTATTTTGGTGGAGTTCAACATCCATTACCGGATATCAGAGAGGTTCTGCTGAGGTGGGAGTTGGGGGAAGGCTGGGATCAATATCTTAGAGACACATCAGTGGGTTGGTTAGGGTTGCCCTAAATGTACCCTGCAGCTCAATCTTTGTCCATCTGGGGTTCTTCCACTTTGAGCCTTTGCTAGCTCTTGCCCAGAGGACAGGCGGGTACAAGACTCCTATTCCCCAAGGTTGGGGAGGGAGTCAATCCCTTCAAAAGGGGAGTAGTTATAGAATGGTGCTCCAACCTGGGATTTGGATTGTCTCCAAAATTGGGTTCCTAGATGCCTGTGACTTGTGTTTGTACCCTTTAGAGCTGTATCTAAAATGCCTATTGAGAGGTGGCCATCAGCCAGCCCTCTGCTCTTCACCTGCTCTATTTCCTTGTGTCTCTGATCCTGGTTTTAGTTACATAGGATCCAAGACCAGACTTGGGGATTCAGGGACTTTTCGTTTTGAGTGCTTATGAGCATACACAAATATCTATGTCTGTCTATGAACTCCTATGATTGCCTAAGAGCACAATGAACACCTATGGCTGTATAAGCACACATGGGCACCAAATATCAGAGGAAGGATCACTTAAGCTTTGACTTTTCTCCTACTGTGTACAGAAGACTCAGGAATCCTGGAATACTTACTTCTGCCCAACCCTAGGAGTTTGGAGGCATTATAGTGCACATGAATCCTCAGTGTGCTCTAAGTACTCATATGTGCTCATAGATGGCCAAAAATTCAAACATATTCTTATACAGGGACCTTGATGCTAGTGTATGCTACTGGGTGCTCTTGTTCTCACAGATTACCCTGGGAGGTTCAAGACTGATGTCTGCTCCCATTACAGTATCTGGAGGCCCTGGCTGGATCTCATGTCACTCTGCTTGATGTTTCCGGTTTCTATGTCTAAGGAGTTTCCAGTTTCTGTCCAGATGGCCTTGCCAGCTTCATGTACTTGGGCTCAGAGCTGGGTGGGAAGGTATATGCCCACCTGGCTGGGGACCTTTTCTGTACTTTTCTAAGTTGGTACCAGAGTAGCTTGGAGCAAGTGAGACAGGGACAATGCCAGCGCCCTACAGGCCTACACAGCAGCTGTTGTCTAATTGCCTGATTAACTAAGTGATTAATTGACTAATTGGGACCTCAGCATCAAATCCCAGCAACAAGCAAATGTTTGTGAAAAGTCTCAAAGCTAATTCTTGAGAGAATGAAAGCAAATGTGAGCTGGATTTTACAATAGACCAGCCAGGGGCAGCAATAATTCCCCATCTGGAAAATAAATCTGATAAAATGCCTTTTGCTTTTTCCTTCTGGAAACTACCAGGGCTATCCAGACAGAAGTGGGGTAGCCCCTTCCATAGGTCCCAAGAGCCACTCCCTAACTGCCTCCCTTTGCAGACTTTTGGAAGGTGTGCTGTATTTTAGGATAACCAATATTGATCCCAGATAGGAACTCTGGTCCACAATAGCAATTCTGTTAGAAATGGGTTATTTGTCTCTACTTTGGGGCAGGTTCACTTCTCCCACAGGGGGCTGAGGTCTTATACGCTTTCCTGAATGACCTCATAGATCATCTTGCTGGTCTACAATATCATGAATTAACGGCTCCTTGTACCCACAAAACTCTGAGCTATGGTGGATCCTTGTTTCTCATAACACATAGGGGTACTTGCCTCTATAGCAGTTCTAACCTGAGTATTCCTGTGGGCCTCTTGGCTGGGCTGTGTGGCCAGTGTTAGTGCTCATGTTTATAAGTTTTCATTGGTTTGGTAATGTTGTGGCTGAAGGTGAGGAACTCCCGAGGGTCTAACTTCCATCCTTTTGTACTTACCATTCTGGAATGGGGTAGAAGCTGACCTTTTTAGTACAGCCAACAAGTTTTCTACCAGGCAGGATAGGCATCTCTTAGTGCATTAGCCTCCTGGTTTTTCTTCCTATGTGGAAGCAGGGACCTACACCAGGCAGTGAGTAATAGAGCAGGGTCACCCCTACAGGCTGTGGTTTTGGCTTGGGCCACGCAGACTCCTTTTTGAATGGTAGCCCCAGAACTGCTTGGTAGAAAGGGAATACAAACTATAGACCTGGATGCTGAGGCACCACAGCACCAGTGATGAACATGGAGAAGTTAGATTTCTGTGCTCTGGACTTGGGTCAGACAAGTCGTGAGTCCCCTTTAGAAAGGGGATACTTGCATTCCAAGTTCCCTGAAAGCCAGGTGGAATCTGATGGAGTGTCTACTGTGGGAAAATGAATCCATCCAGTAGATGCCTTGATCTTATATGTACAGAACTTTAATTAAACATATTTATAAAATTGTAAGTAGCTCTTCATTTGTTTAAACAGGCTGTGTTATTTCACTAATTTTCAGCAAACTGCCAGTGTCTATCTTAAGATAAGTCATTTGAAGAGCCTCTCTTGTACTTCAGGGTGAGACCCAGGTTTTAATACTGATCTCTTCTGCTTTTCCCTCCAGCTGTCCTACCCCTGGATGTACTGGTTCAGGACATGTCCGGGGCAAGTACTCCAGACATCGAAGGTAAGAGGTTCTACTGTAGCCTCAAAGGTTCCCAGGAGGGAGGTTTGGGGTTCTTTTTCCAGATCTGGGTTCTTTTTTCTTTTCTTTTCTTTTTTTTTTTTTCCCGAGACAGGGTTTCTCTGTGGCTTTGGAGGCTGTCCTGGAACTAGCTCTTGTAGACCAGGCTGGTCTTGAACTCACAGAGATCTGCCTGCCTCTGCCTCCCGAGTGCTTCGATTAAAGGTGTGCGCCACCACTGCCCGGCCAAGATCTGGGTTCTTTTGTGGATTAAAAACTTTCTGTTTTGTGACTGCTGAGGCCAGGCTGACCTGACCATTCTAAGCCCTAGTGTCCTCCCACTGGTCAGTGTTCCTGTGGTGCCTTCACTGAGGTGAGTCTGGCCAGGAGTGTGCCATGAGGAGTGCTATATTACCTGTCTTTGGCACCTTTGTTTTTCCAAAGGGACTATTTCAGGACTTGGGTATGTCTTTATAACAGAGCTTAAGGCAGGTCTTGTGCACATGAGAGAGACAGTGTAAGCTACAGCTGTCAGTGTAGTTATTTCCTGTGGTCAGCCAGGTTTCCCAGGGGACATTCCTGGGTGGGTATAGGTGTAGAAGACTGAAGGAAGGAAAGGGCCAGTATGGGAGGAAATGGGCTGAGATAAACTTGGGGGTACATGTGGGATAGTGGTTTGATCTAAGGAATGGTTTAGAGAGTAGCAGACCAGACCAGTGGGGTCTGAGTTCTCATTCCGTTTGTGGACTTGGCTCACTGTAATGCAATTCCAAACACAATCAGGAACTTTTTGATGTGTGTAATTAGATGTAAAAATTTAAATACATTAGCATTTAAGCCTTTCATTTGAGAATGGCTATAGAAAGAGGGACCCTTAGAATGTCCTCCTGGGTGTCTCAGGGAGCTGGTCTGGCTCTTGGCATCACCCATCTTCCCTTTCAGCTTACAGAGTTGCCCTCTGGCCAAGAAGAGAAAACTGGAGGATGCTGAGGCTGAGCACCTGGTATCCAAGAGGAAGTCACACCCTCTGAGGCTGGCTCTGGATGAAGGCTACCGAATGGATAGTGATGGCAGTGAGGATGCTGAGGTGAAGGACGCCTCTGTTTCAGATGAATCAGAAGGACCCCTGGAGGAGACTGAGGCTGAGATGTCAGGACAGGAGGAGATTCATCACCCCCAGCCAGCTGAAGGTACTATGTTGCTCTTTCTCTTTTGAATAAAGGCTGCTTAGTTTGGCCCTGGAGAATTGCAGCTTGTGAGGGGGGTAGGGGGAGCTCAATTCAGTGCAGAAAGCTGTCTTGAGAACAAGGAATGTCTTGTCCTGACATGTGCAGCTTCCTGGAAAAGGAGCTTGCCCAGGATGGGGGTGTGGGTGTGGGGCACTGTAGTGTGTGTGAACACTGTGAGCAGGCGAGAGATGGGAAGGTGAATCTGGACATGGATCTGGCGCTCCCATGCACTCTCAAAAGTTTGATTCTGAGGTGTGTCTCCACGTGTGTGAGAAATAAAAACAGATAATGTATGACATGTCTCTGCCTATGAGAGGCTCTTAGACAGACAAAAGTGCTGAGTAAACACTTCAGTTTAAGATGAATCAGGCCTCTGAAGGTGGGCTGCTGTTAGAAGCCAAGGGAGGAAAGAAGGCAGCTGAGGGTCCCATGTCTTCCCAAGCTACTGGAATCAGCTGACTTTGAACTATCGGGATAGAGATTTACCATATTTTTGAAGCAATCTATGCTGTCTATGCAATCTATGGTTTCCTTTTGGGGACTCAAGTGAGCGCATGGCCCATAGAATCAAGTGAGTTTGTGTTCCAGGTAGAAAAGATCCCCAACTCACCTGCTTCTTGGGATGCTATATGGCAGGGCTGGCTCTTATTGTTGCTAAGAATACTGGTTCATGAGTTCCACAGGACCAGCATGTAGTGAGAAGATCTGTTACTATGTTTAAAATATTTAAATTAATTTCCTTTTAAAAATAAATGATTTCATTTATGAAATGACTTTTTACCTGATTTTTCTCTTTAAGTTTTATTATATAAAATGAAGATCTATCTATTGAGAAAATAAATGATAGAAGAGCAACATGAATTGAAAAAATATCAAAGTAATCTTAAGCTAAAATTGATTCCCCATGGTTTTTGGATCTAGGCAGAAGACTGACAGGATGGCTTACACTTGATTTCCTTGTTTTCTGTGCTACAGTGTTGAGGGTGGACAGGTGGGACTAGGTGGAAGTATGGTTACTGTTGGGAGCAGAGACCTGGAATTATTTCTTCGTACTCATGGCGTTTCTTGTTTTATGCAGGAAAAAGCCTCATCAAATCCCATTTTGGATCCAACCCCACAAGCAGCCCTTCTGGCTTTTCCAAGGGCAGCTACAGCAGCTATCAGGGAATCATTGCAACTTCCCTTCTAAATCTGGGCCAAATTGCTGAGGAGACACTTGTGCAGGAGGACTCAGTTCCAGTTGCTAAGTTAGGCCCTACTGTTGTTCATCAGCTTCAGGATGAGGCTGCAATAGCGGCCCCCAATGATGAGGATGAAAAGGACCTCTTTATACATCCAGAGGATGTGGAGGAGGTCATTGAAGTCACCAGTGAACGTTCCCAGGAGCCATGCCCCCAGTCTCTGGAGGATATGATTAGTGAAGAGTCAAGCAAGCAGAAAGGTGTCCTAGGTCATGAGGAGGAGGGAGAGGATGATGATGAAGAGGAGGAAGAAGAAGAGGAGGAGGAAGAGGAGGGAGAGGAGGTAGAGGAGGAAGAGGAAGAAGAAGAGGAGGAAGAGGAAGAGGAGGAGGAAGAAGAAGAGGAGGAGGAGGAAGTGGAGGAGGAGGAGGAGGAAGAGGAGGAGGAGGAGGAGGAGGAAGAAACAACTCCAAATGTAATCTTTGGGGAAGATACCTCCCATACCTCTGCCCAGAAGGTTTCCCCTGAATTCCGAAGCCCAGAGCTATCCAGTCCCAAGCCTGAGTATTCAGTCATTGTGGAGGTCCGTTCTGATGATGACAAGGATGAAGACTCACACTCCCAGAAGTCAGCAGTCACAGATGAGTCAGAGATGTATGATATGATGACCCGTGGGAATCTGGGCCTTCTGGAGCAGGCCATTGCCCTGAAGGCTGAGCAGGTGCGCGCTGTCTGTGAGCCAGGCTGCCTGCCTGCTGAGCAGGGCCATCTGGGCCCAGGAGAGCCAGGGAAGGTGGCAAAGCCCCTGGATGTGGTGAGGAAGAGCTGCTACAGCAAAGGTAGGCTAAAGTAGCTTGATCTGGTCACCCACCCTGTCATCTCATTACTAAGGGCATAACCCTTACTGAGGAGTGCAGTGAAGGCTGGAGAGAAACAAAGCTTGAAGCCCTTATAGGCTAGGGTGGAAGAAAAACTGAGAAGCATTCAAGGACAAATAACCTCAGAACTTGGGTCAAAGATTGAGGATGTGGGCTTATACTGTTTCATATAGGGTGATTTGGAGAGAGACACATAAGCTGAGATGTATGAGAAAGGGCTAAGTAGAAGAGAGAAAGGAAGGCAGGAGGGCTGATAACCTGACTACTGTGCCACTTAGCCATAATCCTGCCACCCTGATTGCCCAGTGACAGAACCTGACATTTAATGACTTCAGCCCTTGGAAGCTGATTTTTGAGGCCATATTTGATCACCCTGAGCATGTTCTCCATGGAGTTGGGAATCTTGAATTTGACTTAAGACATCTCTCTCATGGTCCTCTGGAGGTCACAGCCTGTTTGTTATGTTGTACTTGGATTTCTCTCTAAAGTCTGAGTTTAAGGGCAGAATCACCTAGTATCACTGAGTAGCTGATGTTTAAAAGAGGGTGGTCAGGCTGGGCTGGTGGAAGGGATTTAGTCTGGATTGATATAAGAGTGAGGCTAGAAGCTGGAAGTCAGATCTAAGGATGGACTCTGAGCAAATGGTGTAGCACAGTTATAACATGAGCACCAGATTTGTAGGGCAGGCTGGTTGTGTGCTGGTTGCTATCTACTCATCTTAAGTGCTTCCTTGGCCCAGAGCAGGTGTATGGAGCTTCTCTCCAGGAGAGTCAGCATCACAATAACAGAAGACCAGGCCTTGAATAGGCCAACTCTGAGTTACCCTGGGTTTTCCTTGGCCCAAACACTCTACTTTAAGATCAGGGAACTTTCCTGACTTCACTCTCCTTTTTCCTTGTCCCAGGCAAAACTTTCTTCTCTGGATCAAACTCTGGGCCCTTCCACAGCCTGCTTCCAGGAAGGGTTAGCTGATGCTAGATATGGGGAAGTCAAGGGGAGAGGGAGAAGGAGAGGGAGAGAGCACTCAAGGGAGGGATAACTCAGACACTGGAATCAGGAACCAAGAAGGTGGAGAACATGTGTGTAAGGAGCGCTGGGAGGCACACTTGGGTCATGGGAAGACAGACTTATAGTAAGAAAATTACAGGTGTGAGGATTCAGCAGAAGTTTTGTGGAGACATGAGGACATACTTTCTGAGAATACTCATGCCTATGATATAAAATCAGAGGACAGATTGATTGGAAACATGTTTTCTGGGTGAGATAGATGTGGAGGGTGGCTGTTGAGGTGATGCTCTTAAGGGTGAGTCAAACTGGGGTAACAATTTGAGGGGCAGAATTAAGCCAGTATTGCCAAAGCTAGGGTTTGAGGCCACAGGTACCAGGGTGTATAGACTGGTGGTGAGAGAGATTTAGGATAGGTATGGGAACTTGAGAGTTTTCAGACTTAAGGTCCCTTGAAAGCAGAAGGCTTTGGTGGGACACTGAATGCCTGTTATCACCAAGCCTAAATATTTCAGGGATTTTCACCCTTGGATAAACATTAGAGGCCAGGTGTAATTCAGGGTTAAATATACAGGACACCAGACAGCACCTTTAGACTATGGAAACATACATATATTGACATGTAGAGGGATAGACATTAGGATTGTTGGAGTCAGGCAGGTATTGGGCACAGGGTTGAGTCCCTCAGGACATCAGAACTTGCCTGGATTGGTAGAAATATGACTTCCTACCCATTTGAACTTGGAGAGACTGAACAGGCCTTTTTCCCTCTGCTGGATTTCTGAGCTTGGTTCTGACATGGCCTAGCAAAAAGATGTTTCTCTGAGACATCATGAGGATTTCTATTTCCTTCTGATCTCCACACTTAGTGGTCAACACAGGCCTGCAGAGATGAGGTTGGCAATTGAAATTTGGAGTTTAGATTTCTGCTGAGGTATTTATTAGTGATACAGCTTTTGATAAGTCACATAACATGCCATCTTCATTTTGTCAAGCCTCAAGGATTCATTTTCTCAGGGGTGTTGATAGATACTTCATCTGCAAGGCTTACATACTGCCTACACTCCAGCTACTATCTATTCTTCTGTATGGGGTGGGAGGGTTGTTCCTTGGGCTTTGGAGCAGCTTTTCTAGAGCTGCCTCACTGTCAGCCTTTGTCTTTTTTCAGTCGGTAAAAGTGGAGACAGGAATTTACTCACCTCTCTTTTCCCAGTCTCCTGGTTTTGCATAATATGTCCTATGTGTTTTAGATCCTTCCAGGGTGGAGAAACGTGAGATCAAGTGTCCGACACCTGGCTGTGATGGTACTGGCCACGTTACTGGGTTGTACCCTCATCACCGCAGCCTGTCTGGCTGTCCCCACAAGGATAGAATCCCTCCGGAGAGTGAGTAGCTCCATTCAGGGTTAGCCCAAGGATTAAAGCTCAGGGTTATGTAGCATAAGGCAGGGGACAGTCTGCTCAAGTGTCCACCTACAGATACTAGCCTGAGTCAGAAGATTAAATAAATACATACTGTGTGAGGGGTTGTCTGTATTCTCTGAGCTTGGTAGATGGAGACCTTCACACAGTTGCCTCTTTGTTCTAAAAGCTTAGGATGTGGATGTCTGTCCTTATTCTTAGGCCAGAAGCAGAATTTATGAAAATTACCTCAGAGCTGTGAAACAGAAATTAGACTCTAGTTTCTTCTATGGGAGGCAGAGTCCAAGTGGGGAGGGCATGCTTGACTGAGTTCATTAGGCTCAGAGTGCCATCGTGCCCTGCTTACACAGCTGCAGCCTTTACACAGCACTCCTGCATTTTCCTTGGGCTGTTCTCCATTACAGTCATGCTTGCTCTCATTATTTGTTCTCCCTGCTTCTCTTACAGTCTTGGCCATGCATGAAAATGTGCTGAAGTGCCCCACTCCTGGCTGCACGGGCCAAGGCCATGTGAACAGCAACCGCAATACCCACAGAAGGTAGTGAATTGAGCTGGAACATGGTAGTGAATTAGGGCTGGGCCTGTAATATGTGTCCCTGCCTGGGCCTCGAGTCCTTATCTGGGATGGGTTCTGGACAGACCTACTTTGGCAGGTGGCAGCTAAAGGGGTGGCTGGTGCTGCTGCAAGTGCCTTGTGAGTGCCAACTGAGGTGATTATATGAGAAGTCTGATATTGTTTTGATGAGAGAAAGTGGAGACTTTATATCTTGCCCATTTTCAGAAAACCTCTGCATTCTAGCTCTTGCTCATGGGTGAAAGAAAAAACTTGGACATAAATAGGAATGTTAATGCCTAGAGTTACTCTGAGGGAGTGCTGAGATCAGGTAGACATGGGGCTTCCAGGCTATTGTCCAAATTTATTTGTTGTCTCATCTTCTTATCCAAGAGGGGACCGTACCACACCAAGAGTGTTATAGGCTTGACAAGGTCTGACTGGGCCTTAGTAGTTACATGCTTAGTTGGGAGGAATACCTGGGATTTAGAGGTTACTTTGTTGGAAAAGAGTCTGAGTTCCCTAGAGATGTGCTGGCCCAGAGGCTGATAGCTGAACTCACAGTAAATCATGAGGAGGGCCAGTGTACTCCAGGGGCAGTACTCAGGTTGTGGTCTGAGTGTAGCCTTTTATTTCCCTGAGATATCCTACAGAATATGTAGACATGGTTCTAGAATCCAGCCCAGGCCCTGAAAGGGGAGAGGAGAGAGGAGGAAGAAGAAGAGGGCTGAGTTTGGCACCTATGTATGTAGAAGAATCCTTTGCCCACAGTTTGTAGAACTTTAGGGTGTATTTCATTTTATGTGAATTATCTCAAATAGAAATGGCCCAAGAAATTTGTCCTTTGTGGGTTCAGGACAGATCTGAATGGACAATATGTCCTGTAGAAATGACAGGTGTGTTACTGGCTCTGGGCTTTATGTGCCTAGAGCTCTTGTATCTGAATGGTGTTGCTCCCAGGGCCACATATTTGGCAACCTAGTACAGACATTATCTTGGAGAAAAAGGCTCAGATGTCTCTCCTTTTCCTTCCTCTAGTTTGTCTGGGTGTCCCATTGCTGCTGCTGAAAAATTAGCCAAATCTCATGAGAAGCAGCAACTGCAGACAGGAGATCCTCCCAAAAATAACTCCAATTCAGATCGGATCCTCAGGTGGGTGAGATAAGCTACTAAACTGAAGGAGTGTCAGCAGAGACTTCAATGTTAGGGCTTCGTGGTATGCATATGCCTCTTGGCACACAGGACACATCTTTTGCCCTTAAAGAGCCTCATCCAAGGTACAAACAGCTGCCCAGCCTTAGCCACAGTGTGTTCTGCCTTTCATTCTCCAAAGACAGCTGATATGGTCAGTGACATTATTCAGGGTTAGTATGTGGAGATAGAAGACTGCATCAGTTGAGGGCCTTACTACAGAGGGAGCTCCTAGTTGTCCTTATGTCTCCCCACCTCAGAATGGATCCTATCCTAGGGCAGAGGGAAAAAGGGCACAGGACTTGCTCCCCTAAGTGCTGCCTCCTGTGGGTACTAAGCATCTGAGACAATAGCAGGCATAGGTGCATGTAGGTGTGTGCATGCCTGCATGCTCTTTATATATGTACACCCATATGGGTAAGTTTACACATGTGTTCAAGTGCATGTGAGTGTATGCTGTCATCAAGGGGCCTTCTAACAGAACAACCAGAATAAATCTGCCTAGTGACTTCCATACAGGTAACCTTGGAAAGTGGTGTTACAAATAAGGCCAGATGCTTGGGGTCATGTCTAAGACACCATTTCTGGATGGCTTGTCTTCAAACACTCCTTTGAAGTCAACTATAGTCCCCTGCTGGGGACTATAGGTTCATTCGAGACACTGAGGGTACGCTGTCAACTTTGGTCCTCACTAGAAGGACACATAGCTCTTCATTTCCCTGAGGATATAGAACTCACAACTCCTCTCTTTGTTCTTGGACTCCTGTCTCATGTTTCTCTTCTCATATGTAGTATGGGAGACAACCATGTCCTTAGCAAAGCCAGTCACTGGCTGACAAGGCACTATTGACTCCTTGCAGGACCTCTGGCCACAGGCTTCCTTCTTGGCTGCTTTCCTTGGCAATGCTATAACCTGGTCATTCCCTGGCCTACTACAGATGGACCCTTAGTCACAAACCACATCTTGAAGGGACAGGGACTTACTTTTCTGCTCTGTGGAGTACTTGTGTCCCATCTGTAGATATCTTTGACCTTGTGGGTCCCAGGTAGCATAGTTGTCTGTCTTGTTTTTCCTTCCAGTTTTTTTTATCAGTTGCTGGCTGATTCTTTCACCAAAGAGTGACACCAATGTTGAGGTCAAATTAAATGTCTTCTTGCTGGTATCAGGTGGTCTTGCTCTTGCAACTTCACCAGGAGTTGCTGAGCTAGTGTCCAGATTAGGATTTCATTCCACACAGGGCCCACCCCACCAGTACTCTAATGTGATTGTCATAAGAGCATAAGAGTGGTCTTACAATGTCAACCTGCTGGTTCTCTCTTTATGCCAACATTCAAGTTTTTGAAGCAACCAGTTCTCAGAAGTCTTCACCATCATTTCCAAGTACCATTGATCACTGACATCATTGCTTATTCCACACAGGAACAAGGAGAACTGGGGTATTTGCTGGAGCTCTCTTCCTTCTTCCATTTCCCCTCCACTATGAGATTCCTATTCAGAAACTTTCACTGATTGTGTGGTTGAGCTCTTGGAACCTGCTTTCTGACATTTTGAAGGAAGTTTATGCTTGCTACTCTAGCATACTACTAGCATGAGAATACTCTATTTCTTTTGGGCTCTATTGTTCCCTCTTTGTAGGCAATTATTCACACTGATTATAAGCCTATTTCAGGGGCCCTTCACCCTGGAAGGCAGAATTCTAACCAAACATTAGGGGCAGGGTTTTGGGTGTGTGTGTGTGTGTGTCTCCCTTAGTGTTCCTTATCACCTGACTGCATGAAGTACTGGCTTGGGCCATTGGAGGGTGGGGGGAGAAGTAGCATGGGGTTTCTGGGTTCCCAACCTCACAGGATCTGCATCTCTGTCTCATATCCCAGGCCCATGTGCTTTGTGAAGCAGCTTGAGGTTCCTCCTTATGGGAGCTACCGACCCAATGTGGCTCCCGCCACGCCCAGGGCCAACTTGGCCAAGGAGCTGGAGAAGTTCTCCAAAGTCACCTTTGACTACGCAAGTTTTGATGCTCAGGTTTTTGGCAAACGTATGCTTGCCCCAAAGATTCAGACCAGCGAAACCTCACCCAAAGCCTTCCAATGTAAGTTGGGGAGAATTGTTTAATGTCTCTCCTCTCACATTGCTTCTGAGAGGGACGGTGGGGAAGGGATTCTCTTGGGAACTTGGAGGGATAGGGTGTGGGCCTGAGTCCTCAGCCCCTTTTTAGCTGCCCCAGTGGGGCAGTTGTGGCATCCTTAGGGCCTGCATCTTGTCCATGTCTGCTTTGAGCCTTTATGTGTTTCCTAATTATTTATGAAGAAAATCATGGGTCTGTTATGGGTGTGTATGTCCAGAGGCTTGAGAATTACTTCACTGATGTGGTCTGCCCTACGGTGTTCACTTCCAGCATTGCCTCTAAGGAGGGTCCAACAGAACAGGTTGGTACCATGCAGGAAGCTTCTAGGTTTCCTGAATAGGGACCATCTTACTAGAAATGGTATTGTCTATGACATTAGCCACACATTTTGAGGGCAATTATACTGACAAAAGTAATTCCTGGAAATATTCTAGAGTAATCATCCCTGCCATTTCTTGCCACTTACCTCACTTCTTTGTGGTTAGCCTTGGAAATGCATGCGAGATGGAAAAGTACCCAGTTCACTGGAGTGATCCAGACATCTCCCAGTTGACCTTGTCAACTCCAAAGATGGCAGGGACAAGTTTCCAGTTTGTTAGGATTACAATTGTTAGAGTTAGTGCCCCTTGGGATGAGTCTTTTCTGGACTCCAGCAGACTCTGCTGGCCATGCTCATGTCTCCAAGCACACTCACTTGCTTAGAAGCTGTGATGACATTGCTGGGGAGGGGCTCCAAATAAGTTTTCCACTTGTCTAGATATTTCTGGAAATACCAGTGGTTTCTTGGTTACTCACAATATCACTTCTGAGAATGATTTTAAAGCTGCAGCATAATTGGTAGAAAAGATAGCATTATACCTTCAATTATGGTATCCTACTTATGGCCTTGTTGCTTTATTAAGGTAGCAATAAATATTGGGGACATAAAGTCACCAAAAGTATAGCAACATCTTCTGGTATGATGGAACAAAATTTTCCATGTATATGGTATCCCAAATGTGTATCTTATTTACAGAATTATTTAGCCTCTAAGTATTTGTTGGTGGACAAGATTTTTGCTTGTTTGAAATTACCAAGTCTGTTGGGAATATTTCTAGAATTTTATTATTTCTGCCTAAATTTTCATCAGATCAGAAATGTGATGCCTTTTCAGTACTGGAGACAAGAGCAGTAGGAGGAGTGTGTGATAATGTTGGAGAGCTATGTCCTGACTCCTAGCTCTCTCCCTACTTGTCTGCTGTCTTCATCTATGTTAATATGGGATGTTCCCTTTTAACATTCAACCTTTACCAAAGTCACCTCCTCCAGGTGTGTCCCATCTCCCAGTGACTTTATGAGAGTACTTTATCTTCTTCTGTAGGCTTCGATTATTCTCACGATGCTGAGGCTGCACACATGGCTGCCACTGCCATCTTGAACCTCTCCACTCGATGCTGGGAGATGCCAGAGAACCTCAGCACAAAGCCACAGGACCTCCCCAGCAAGGTGAGCATACCCTCCTGAAGCCCTTTGGGGAGAGAATAGGTGGAGTTTATACTAAGAAATTTGCAGTAAGGAAATGGCTGGTGCCAAAAGCAGCTGAGAACTAGTTGATGTTTATTTTTAAATACTTATGTTTTATTTATGTGCATATGTGTGTGCCTGCATGAATCTATGTGCATCATGTGTGTGCAGGTGCTCAGAGCCAGAGGGCATCAGACACCCTGGAAATGGACTTATAAGCTATTGTGAGCTGCTTGATGTAGGTGCTGAGAATTGAACTAAACATGTCCTTCTCTAGTCCTTACCTGTTCTCTCTCAACTTGTGGTGGTCTCAAGGGGTTGGCTTCCTAATCTGCAGAGGAGAGAGGGGCTGTATGTCTTCTTCACAAGAGGTGAGGATGTGGTTCTTTCCTCTCAGCAGATCACTGTTTTCTTCTAAGACAGTCAGTGTTCTGATCAGAAGACACTCTCACGAAGGGGCTCAGTTAGCCAACCCATATTCTTAACCTTCATATTTGCAGGCTGTGGACATTGAGGTAGATGAAAATGGAACTCTGGACTTGAGCATGCATAAACACCGCAAGCGAGAAAACACTTTCCCCAGCAGTAGCAGCTGCAGTAGCAGCCCTGGTGTCAAGTCTCCTGATGTCTCTCAGCGCCAGAACACTACCAGTGCCCCCAGCAGCTCCATGACCTCACCCCAGTCAAGCCAGGCCTCCCGCCAGGATGAGTGGGACCGTCCCCTAGACTACACCAAACCTAGTCGCCTTCGAGAGGAAGAGACTGAGGAGGTGGGTGCCAGGATCCTGTGTGTAGCCTGAGTGTGTAGGCTCAAAGCTGCTTTTAGGGCTGCGATGAACACTGCTTTCTTCTTCATATCTTTTCCTTGTGAGGTTTATATAGAACCTCTGAGGTCTGTCTCTTTCCACACAATATTCATCTTCAGGGCATCTGAAATTCAGGTCACAGTCTCCAGCAAAGGTTTCGCCTGCACTGTTATGTTCAGTCTTGCTCCATAAAAAGGGCGGGTCTTCTCACCTCTGCAGAATTTACTGACTAGCAGCAACGTAGACTTTCTAAAGAGGAGAGGGATGTTTCATATTTCCTGGGGATGATTTGGGAAAAGCTTTTTTCCCTTGGTTTTGTTAGCCTTCAACAAAAGTTTAACTCTTATCTACCCAGGTTGCTCTGCTCCCCTTCCCCAACATATTCTATAAAACACAGTTGCTGTTCAGACAATTGTTTGATGCCTGGTTCCTTGGACCAGGGAAATGAGAAACCCTGGACACAGGGGTGTTGGACATGGGAATCCTTGTGGTGGGCAATGACCTGAGTCCCCAAGAACATGACTGACTGGGGAGAGAGGTAGTAACTTGATGTCAAAGTCTGAGCTGAAGCACTCCCTTTCCTATTGTTTTACACCTGAATATAAAGGTGTAAAACAAGAATGCTTCCTAAGAAACAGAGTCTGGACAGTCAGTGTGAGACCAGCAACTTCCACCTTCTGGAGGAAATATCTGGAGGGAGCAGGGCCATTTACCTCTATGAGGCTGGTGAGGTAGCACCTCCCCCCAACTCAGTCTACTCCCCTGTAAGTTAGTCCCCATTTTAAACCCCTTTCCATTCTTGGGTGAGACTCAAGATTGCTCCATTTTAGAGGGATAGGTTGGGATCCTAGTCTAGGAAACATAGTACAGTTAACAGCCCTTGGGTCTCATTAGTGGAATCCTGGGGTGAACACTTATGGTAGGGAAGTGTACATAGAGCCACGTCTATCTGACTCTGTGGAAATGGAATCATTCTTGCACTAGACAGCAGCCCTAATGGAAGCTGGGTGTACCCTCTATATAGTATCTTCACTGTTTTCTCTCTTTCTTGGGCCTAGAACCTTGCAAGATTCATGCTTTACTCCTAGGGTTAAGTCGTTCCCTGGTCTGCTAACCATGATTTCTCAACTTCTTTCTTAGGCTGTGGATTGGTGTATAACGTGAGTTTTCTTGGCCCGGCAGGTCCTGCTGCCCTTCTCTGCCCCAAAGAAGCACACAGACGCTATATTAATTATAAAGCTGTTGGCCGTGACTATGGTTTCTTATTGGCTAGCTCTGTCTTAATTATTAAGCCATCTCTATTAATTTAAGTATTTCCATGTGGTCTTATCTTACTGAAGGAAGAGTCCAGACCTGTTAATCCTCTCACATCCTACATGGTGACTGCCTCTCTCTAAGTTTCCCAGAATCCTCCACATCTTCTAGACCTGCCTATCATGCTGCCCTATTGGCCACAGTGTTTTATTCATCAACCAGTAAGACAAACATATACACAGAAGAACATTCCCCATCATTGGTGGATGTCTTGGTACCCTTCCCTGCCTTTTCCTTTGCCCTAGTTCAGCTGTAGTCTTTTTAATTCCATTCTCTCAGCAGATCCTCTTGCAATATCATCTCCCCAGGAATGAACTGGAATTTGTAGTGGGATCTCTCTCAGAGGTCCTGAGGTCCTTCTGCTGAGGCCTGCCCTATGCTCCACCTCCAGCCTTTGCCAATTGTCCACAAACCCTTCTTCTCCCAACCTTTCCTAGTCATAATTCATCTCCCCATTCAAAACTCTTAGGTCAGTCTTCCCCATTCTTCTCCCTCTGCCTTGGATCCCTTATTCAGACCCTCCCATCAGTCCTGCCCAATTGCTCACCAATTTTGAGTGCAACTGTCTTGATATCATGGGTACTCTGAGCCCTTTTTGTTCAGAGCCTCTACTTCCTGGCTACACTGACCCTGAAGACTTGTCTTAAGTATGTCCTTCTGAGCACCTTTGTCCAGTTGCTCAGGCAAACAAATCACTATCCTTGTCTAGTGACAAGAATCATAATAGCTACTGCAGGTTGGCTCCCCAGAGCTGTTCTGTGGCTGTAGTTCACAGGTTTCTCCTTTTTGAGGTTTACATCTTTTTGATTCAATGTCTGAATAGCCTGTTGAAACCTATAGCAAGTAGATACATCTCTGGAATGTGAAATCTGGTATACTTGTCTTGCTAGAAGAAGTTATTCTAAGGCTGTAAGATCCCTGACTTTCAATGGAAGAGCTGTTGTTGTTTCTCACTCCCTGTGCATACCCATGAGGCTTTGGTGGTAAGACAATGCATCCAGACCCACAGCTCAGTTAGTGGTGTTTGTCAAGTGTCTGATTTGGTCAAGGCATCGTTTTTGTGGGCCCTGGGTCTCAAGCTTATTATGATTATCATTAAGCTACTAGTATGCTATCTAACTCAGCATTGAGATACCTTAGCAACCTTATTGAGTGCCTGCTGACAGTTGAGCCTTAAAGAGTACTGCGTCCAGGTATTCACTTTATGGTAATTTGGTGGAGGCTGGCCAAAGACAAGCATCCTGGCCTTCATAGTGTGGTCTTCTGTCTTGAGGTAGCTAAGTCTTCCTCCCTATTTCATAAGGTAAAACATCTTATGGATACTACTGAAGGGTCCCTCTTTGTTGCCCACTAGGTTGGACATCTGGCTTCCTTGCCAGTTATTAAAATATTCCTTGCTGGTTTGTTTTTGTTTGTTTTTGTTTTTGTTTTGTTTTTTCAGTCAGAGCCAGCAGCACATTCTTTTGCTTCTTCTGAAGCAGATGATCAGGAGGTGTCAGAAGAGAACTTTGAGGAGCGGAAGTACCCAGGGGAAGTCACCCTGACCAACTTTAAGCTGAAGTTTCTCTCCAAGGACATAAAGAAGGAGCTTCTCACGTAAGTGCTGCTTTAGCAGGCTGGTCTCCCATGAATCCTGTGAAAGCAGGCCTGGTCCCAGAACTCAGCAACCACCTAGATCCAGGTAGCTCACAGTGGTGAGTTTTCTGTCAGCTCTGCACTGAGCTGGGTATAAACATGATCCTCTGAAAGCAATTAATAACCAGGAAGCTCCTCTGGTCCAGCCCATAATCCAGAACAGAACAGGACAAGATGAGGATTGTAGTCATGAGCAGAGAGGGTCATAGACATTAGCTCTCAGCTTTGGCAGCTGCTGGACCCCAAGCTGGAGCAAGCAAAGCTTTTCATCAACTTCTAATGTCACATGTCCTTAAAAGACTGTGAAGGGTTATGCCTAGCACCTTTTCCACTGGTGATCTCACCTTCACCTGTGCTCATAGCTAGTTTTATGGAGGATATAGGGGTCCTCTTTTCCTTATACTGCACCCCACTAGTTTCTTCCTACCTTGGTACCCAGATTTCCCAGGGTGGCTAGATCTATGTTCTCATTCTCAGAGAAAATTGTGCTGCTTTAGGAGCTGGAGAAGGGAGGAATGCCCAATCCACATGTTCATAAGCATACATGTGTACACATAGCATGCACATGCACACACAGCACTCATGCTTCAGAGGCATCCTTACCTCAAGTTCACTTTCCTTCTTGAGTTAAGCTGTATAGGAGAAATTTCCAGTCCCAGAAGTGAGGGCTGTGATCTGAGGATGTCCACCTGCCCTTAGTTGACTTGTTCTGGGGGAAGGTCTACAGGTGTGCATGGTCCTCTGTTCTGATGCTCTTTTTCCTTTGTCCAGCTGTCCCACTCCTGGCTGTGATGGCAGTGGTCATATCACCGGGAACTATGCCTCCCATCGCAGGTTCGTGCCCTGCTCCTCTGGTCTGGCTCCAGTGCTTTGTGTGTGTTTTGGGGGGTCTTTCTCCTCATCTCCTCTGCTCCCCTCTATGGCTCACCCCATATCCCATCTCTTCTCTTTCAGCCTCTCTGGTTGCCCTCTTGCTGACAAGAGCCTCAGAAACCTCATGGCTGCCCACTCTGCTGACCTCAAGTATGTTTGCGCTCACTGACTGCCTGTCTCTTGGGCAGCTCCCTGGCTTTGCTCTCTCCTTTATGAGGCTCCTACCAAGTCAGCCTTCTCTAAGGTACCATCCCAGGCTGGCTCTGCTTTCCTGGGATGGGGAAGAGGAGCAGGGCTGACTCTGCTTGGCTGGGCTGTTGTCCTTGCACCTGTGACTCCTGCTTTGACCAATCTGACCTCTAAGCACTGTACATCTCACTTGTTGCATCAGAGCTCCCGTACTGCTTCAGGTCTTTCCCAAGAACTCTGACAGGGCTGCCGGGCCTGCTTTTCCTACTGCCATTCTAAATACTGAGTAAAGCTGGAACTTGGCTGTGGCTTAGTGACTACAGGCTACGGAGCTCTTGTCAAATGAACTATCACTAACAGTGCCAGAGAATGCTCCTTGCTTTCCTTCTCCCTATGCCTTAGCTGCTCTGTTTCTCCCTGGTGTTCTCCCAGTCCTACTCAATGCTCTTGCTTCTCTTTGCTGGCTCTCTCCATGCTTCTGTGCCTCTCTGTCTTAACACATAGACAGAGCAGGCTCTGCGGGCACCCAAAACTGTCAGTTTGCCTGACAGTCCTCAGAAGGGAACAGCAAGTGCACCCAGAGGTTTCCAGGCATCTATTCTCTTGGAGCTAGAGCTGGGGCCTTCATTGTTTCTGGCTTTCATTTTTCTCTGTTGACCTGTGACATTATAGCCTTCATGACACTGAGCTGTGGTTACTTTGTTCATGGGACCAGAGCCAAGTAGAGACCTAGGAAGAGGGAGATACTCTCCTGTTGTTCTGTTCCTCATAGCAGGACCAGGGCCTTCCCTCTCATAGTCTTCTGTGATAGGGGCTCTGAATCTAGGCCAAGACTCACTGAATCTGTTTGGGGAACAAACAGGTGATGGATACTGGTACCTTTTGGACAAGGAGCTAGAATGCTGACAGAAGGGACTTGAGCTGATTTATGCTAGAACAGAAGTCCAGGGGTTTCAAGTTCCACTCTAACCAGCTCCATTCCTTCTGGTAGGGAATATCAGGTTCACACCTTATAGGTTCACATAATTTCTCATTCACTCACTAATACTGTAGTCTAATCCTGAAACTCAAAGTTGGAGAACAGTCCTATAGGCTCAGTGAATACCTCCTCACACTTTTTATTATCTTTTTTTGTATTCTGGCTTACCCTCACACCTATTTTTATATCCAGTTCTGCTTCCTTTTCCAACTATGATTAGGGTTCATGGATTTCCAACACAGGGCCTAGAGGACTCTCTATTTTAGGATATAACCATACATTCTGTGCCCCTAAAACAGATATCAAGAGCCAACAAGAGGAAACTTGGCTGATCCAGCCAGGAAATAGCCCCTGGGAAGGTTTGCACTTTAAGCCTATGAAAAACTTTAACACAAAACTTGTGTGTGCACAGCAGAGGAAAGTCTACTTTCATGGGTGGGTGTCTCTGGTATCCCCATTGCCTCCAAAGCTTTTCTAGTCCCAGAGCTCTTTCTGGGTCCATTGCCTCATTGTTCAAGACTCCAGTATGGTCTTAGGAGAAGGTGACCATGACCTCTTCCACACATTTATTGATACCCTAGTGCTCCTGGGGTCCTTATTCTGTCTGTGTAGGCATCAGACTGGCCAAAGCAGTGCAAATGGAGTTCTTTTTGCAGCCTCCCTATAAATGGAAAAATGCAGAAATGCTCAGGCATGTTCTCTGTTTTTAAGTAAGTTCCAGGGTCATTTACTCTCCTTCCTTGTGTGACCAGAGTCTGCCTTGGGCTGCTCAGTTCACCAGGGTGGGAGTATACATACTACTCTGCATTGTGGAGGCATTTCAGGCTATAAAGAGGGTGGGCAGCTTCTCTGCAGCACAGGAATGAGACACAGTGGGAGATATGAGATGCCACCAAGGCAGAATCATCACTTAGGTAGAGATTCTTCCTTCTTTTCAGGTAACCCACTTAGAAGCAGATGGCAGACAGGATGAAGGCAGCTCTAGTTCTTGTGGCAGCCCCCATAGGGAGTATCTAGAAGATACCTAGTCCTCTTACTCTGTGGACACTGTCCTCTTTGAGCATAACTTACAGGAAAATATCAAATAACACATTAGCAAGGAATACAGAACATTCTCCTGTGTGCTAGGCACCTGCTTGTTCTCTGGGAGCCACAGACCTTCCCAAGACTCATTAGTGCTGTTGAGTATATCTGCATCTCATCCACTCATAGCTCAGAGGCCTGGGTTGTTATATGGCCACTGAGTGACCACCTCTCTTTGCTCTGAACCTCTGCTGGATGCTTCCTTGATATGAAGACAAGGAGCAGGATCCCTGGGCCTCAGAGTGAGCTTCTTCCCAATGAAAGGAGAAAGGAACTATTTTCGGTTCCCTGTACTTGCACCTCTTGTCAGGAGGGCCATCATGGTGGTAATGTAGCATCTATACCACTCCATGTCCTCATGAAAACTAGAGAAAGATTTGGTGGGTCAGCTGCCTGAGAACCAAAGAAGTATCCAGTATGTGACACAGTGAGGGGACCCGAGGAGTCTGGGAAGACACACAGAGAAAGATCTGAGGAACCAGAAAGAAAGTCACAAGAGGTGATGCCAGCTGTGCCATCCTCTGAGATGCCAGACTCCTGGCTTCTGTCTTTCATATAGGAAATCCTATGTCCCAAAGGTCAGATACTGTTTGTGTACAGAAAGTCAGAAACTTCCCCCAGGTAAAGGTGCCATGGAGCAGCACTTTGGATAACCAACACCAAATATTTACTGTTTCCCATAGGATGTCACTGTAATTAGGGGCAAGATGTAAAGCAGCAGATTAATGAGATGGGTCTACCTCCAAGTCAACCTCATTCAATCAACACCTGCTGTGGTTTTTCATTTAGGAGAAAACAACTCAAGAGAAGTCCATGTTCATAACATTAAAGTATAATTTCTACCACTTTATGGAATATGTTCATGAAACTTTTTCATGTATTTGCTTGAATTTTGTATTCTGTGTTTCCTATTTTACCCTTGCTGGGGTCCATCAACCTATAAAAGACACTAGCTTAGCTCTACATTCACCAAACAGGGATCAGGTCTTCAGTGGCCATACAGCAGGTATTCATGGGTACCTCTGTGAGTTCTTATGATTAGACCTGAAGCTTAGATGTGTTCTGGATAACCAGATGAGATTGGAACCCAATAAAAGGCTAAGCTGGGAGCCCATGATCTCCTGTGAATGCAATGAACACAGCAAACTGTACCCAATGCCCTATCTTGATGTTTGGTGTAAAGCTAGTCTCATTCAGCTACTCTTTTTTTGGCTTTCTGGGTTCCCCTGGGAGTGGCTGGGCTTAGTACTGAGCCATGATATGACCTTATTGATATTGAATACCTGTTGCTGGCAATGGCAGGCTGAGTAAGGTATGTGACACTCCTTTGCAAAGAGATGCATAATGGGGGGTGGTTGTTTGAAGGATCTAGAGCTTAGAATGATGATGGATTCATTTGAGAGCTGAGTCCAAAAGGGCAAATATCTTTATGGGCTCTGGTCTCATCTTATATTTCTCTGCAGGTGCCCCACACCTGGCTGTGATGGCTCTGGCCACATAACAGGGAACTATGCTTCACACCGGAGGTGAGTGGGACCAAGGGTAGTGATGAAAGTTCTGACTTACACAAAGTTCTAATGTTCTGAATAAGATATTAAAGTTGCCAAAAACTAGAGTCTATTTGTATCTCTTTTGAATTGTTGGTGCTTCCAGAATTTCTCTGGTAACGCTATGCAGTAAAACCAAAAGACAAAGTATCAGATTAGAGGCTCCTAGAGATGTTTCCCACTTCTGATTGTTCTGTTGCGCTGTTTGAAGGTTGTGTATGAGCCAACTCTGTTCCACAAGAAAGCTTAACTGATGAGTCAGCTGACTGATTGATCCTTTCTTCCCTCCTTCCCACCCCCACAGGGGGCCACAGAACTTGAGGGAGTAGCATGAGGCAGACAGTGAGGGAGCTGCTGTTCTGGGACTGAGGTGGCATGTTTTCCTCTTTCAAAACCAGTTTGTCAGGCTGCCCACGTGCCAAGAAGAGTGGACTCAAGGTGGCGCCTACCAAGGATGACAAGGAGGACCCCGAGTTGATGAAGTATGTTGGGTTATGCTGGCTCCTTCATTGTTTTGAAAAATTGGGTTTTTTTTTGTATGCTATAACTAAACAATAAAAAATAAAAAATAATGCCTTTTGAATAGAAATCTGGGATGCCAGAATTTGGGAGGTTAGGATCATTGAGTTTAAGCCTGCCTGAGCTACTTAATGAGAACCTGTATCAAAACCAAAACAAAATTAAACAACAACTTATTCTAGACTTTTCTTCACATCTGGCCATTAAATTAATTGATGATAATAATTAATTTTTACAGAAGAACTGGAACCTGACACATTGTTTCCTGGAAATTGAACCCAGACCATGTTCTCTGGGTTCAGGTCAGAGGAAGTATTATGGCAGGGCTATGGGAAGTTAAGAGCCCTACTGCCCTGGAGTGGTTCTGGAATCCCCACAGGCTTTGAAGTCTGTATCGTGTCTGGCAAGAAGGTTCAGTTGTGAAGTTTTAGAAGGCAGTTCATTAGGAAGATGTTGATCTTTGAATATCATGGGTCTGGCCACCAGCACATCTGTCTAGAGCAGTGGTTCTCACCCTTCCTAATGCTTTGACCCTTTAATACAGTTCCTCATGTTGTGGTGACCCCCAACTACAAAATTATTTTGTTACTACTTCATAGCTGTAATTTTGCTGTTATGAATTATAACATAAATACCTGTGTTTTCTGATAGTCCCAGGCAAGTCTTGTGGGTTATTCAACCCACAGGTTGAGAAATCTTTGTCTAGAGCTAGTTAAGAGAGCTGAAACTGGGAATTGGACCCAGTGTAGGGACTAAAGAGGATATCTTTGGTCTTTATTTTCTTTTCTTTACAAGGAACTCCTTTCTTACCACCTTGGTCTAAATGTCTTTTACAAATCTTTTTGTAGAGTCATTGTTGTTGTTGTTGCACCATTCTATAAATCTCCTGAAGTTACTGAGAGCCAACGAGTAACATTTGTAACTATCCTTTCTCTCCTATTAATTTCTTACATTCATTTCATATATATTTCTTGTATCCTATGTAAATGCTCATCAGCCAAGGAGGAGTTCAATAATCAAATAGATAGGATGACTTTTTCTGTGGACAATCAGACTCTTTTCCCAGCCATTCATGTCATTGTCCAATGGGCCCATAAACAAAGTGGCCATTGTGGCAGAGATGGGGGTTATGTATGGGCTTAACAACATGGACTTCCATTCACCACAGTGTAGGGGACAGTAAGCCACGCCTGTTAGAGGCTTTATGTCTGGTATCCACTTATAAGTGAGTACATACTATGTTTGTCTTTCTGGGTCTGGATTACCTCACTCAGGATGGTTTTTTCTAGTTCTGCCCATTTGCCTGCAAATTTTAAGATGTGATTGTTTCTTCCCACTGAGTAGTACTCCATTGTGTAGATATACTACATTTTCTTTATCCATTCTTCAGTTGAGGGGCACCTAGGTTGTTTTCAAGATCTGAATAATTTTGCTATGAACATAGTTGAGCAAATGTCTTTGTGGTGTGAATATGCCTCCTTTGGGTATATGCCCAAAAGTGGTATTGCAGGGTCTTGAGATATCTTCTTTGAACATCTGGTAGAATTCTGTGCTGAAACCATCTGGGCCTGAGCTTCTTTTGGTTGGGAGAACTATTGATAATTGTTCTATTTCCTTAGAGATTATAGGTGTATTTAAGTTGTTTATCTGTTCTTGATTAATTTTGGTTTGTGGTACTTATCTAGAAAATTGTCCATCTCCTTAAAGTTTTCCAATTTTGTGGAGTACAGGTTTTTGAAGTATGACCTGATGATTCTCTGGATTTCCTCAGTGTCTGTTGTTAGGTCCTCCCTTTCTTTTCTGGTTTTGTTAATTTGGATATTCTCTCTTTGTCTTTTGGTTAGTTTGGATAAAGGTTTGTCTATTTCATTGAATTTCTCAAAGAAACAACTCTTTGTCTCACTGATTCTTTGTTTTGCTTCCTTTGTTTCTATTTCATTGATTTCAGCCCTCAATTTGACTATTTCTTGCCATCTCCTCCTTCTGGGTGAGTTTACTTCTTTTTGTTCTAGCACTTTCAGTCATTCTGTTAATCCACTAGTGTGGGATTTTTCCAGCTTCTTTATGTAGGCATTTAGTGCTATGAGCTTTCCTCTTAGCACTGCTTTCATTGTGTCCTATATGTTTGGGTATGTTGTGCAGTCATTTTCATTAAATTTTAGGAAGTCTTTAATTTCTTTATTTCTTCCTTGACCCAATGGTGGTTCAGTTGATCATTGTTCAATTTCCATGTGTTTGTGGGCTTTCTGAAATTAATGTTGCTGTTGAATTCTAACTTTAAGCTGTGGTGATCCAATAGGATACAAGGTATTATTCCAATTTTTTTTGTATCTGTTGAAGTTTGCTTTGCTATCGAGTATGTGATCTATTTTTGAGAAGGTTCCATGAGGTGCTGAAAAGAAAGTATATTCTTTTGTGTTTAGGTGGAATGTTCTATAGATGTTTGTTAAGTCCATTTGAGTTACAACATCAGTTAGTTCCCTTATTTCTCTGTTAAGCTTCTGTCTGGCAGACCTGCCCAGTGGTGAGAATGGGATGTTGAAGTTTCCCACTATTAGTGTGTGGGGCTTGATTTGTGATTTAAGCTTTAGTAATGTTTCTTTTACAAATGCAGGAGCCCTTGTGTTTGGGGCATAGATGTTCAGAATTGAGATTTCCTCTTGGTGGATTTTTCCTGTGATGAATATGAAATGCCCTTCTGTACCTTTTTTGATTGACTTTTGTTTGAAGTCTGTTTTGTAAGATATTAGGATATCGTGTTTCTTAGGTCCATTTGATTGGGAAAAAATTTTCCGAGACCCTTTACTCTGAGGTAATGTCTGTCTGTGAGGTTGAGGTGTGTTTCTTGTATGCAGCAGAAGGATGGATTCTGTTTTCATATCCAGTCTAATAGCCTGTGTCTTTTTATAGGTGAATTGAGACCATTTATATTAATGGATATTTATAAAAAATGATTACTAATTCCTGTTATTTTTATTTTTGTTGTGTTGGTGATGGCATTGTGTGTTCAATTCCCTTCTTTGGGATTTACTGCTGTAAGATCATCTATTGCTTGTGTTCTTTTGGATGTAGCTGACTTCCTTGGGTTGGCGTTTTCCTTCTAGTACTTTCTGTAGGGCTGAGTTTGTGGATAGGTATTGTTTAAATTTGGTTTTATCATGGGATATCTTGTTTTCTTCATCTATGGCTATTGAAAGCTTTTCTGGGTAAAATAATCTGGGCTAGCATTTGTGGCCCCTTGGTATCTGCATAACATCTGTCTAGGACCTTCTGGCTTTCATTGTTTCTGTTGAGAAGTCAGGTGTAATTCTGATAGGTCTGCGTTTATATATTACCTGGCCTTTCTCCTTTGCAGCTCTTAATATTCTTTCTTTTTTTTTTTTAAAGATTTCATTTATTTATTATGTTTACAACATTCTGCTTTCATGTATATCTGCACATCAGAAAAGGGCATCAGATCTCATAACAGATGGTTGTGAGCCATCCTGTGGTTACTGGGAATTGAACTCAGGACCTCTGGAAGAGCAGCCAGTGCTCTTAACCTCTAAGCCATCTCTCCAGCCCCCAATATTCTTTATTTATTCTGTGTGTTTATTGTTTTAATTATTATGTTGCTAGGGAACTTTTTTTGTCCAATCTATTTGGTGTTCTGCAAGCTTCTTGTACTTTCATAGGCATGTCCTTCTTTAGTTTGGGAAAGTTTTCTACTATGATTTTGTTAATATATTTTCTGTGCCTATGAGTTGGACTTCTTCTCCTTCTTCTATCCCTATTATTCTTAGGTTTGGTTTTTTCATGGTGTCTCAGATATCCTGCATGTTTTGTGTTAAGGATTTGTTGGATTTAAAATTTTCTTGGACCAGTGAATCTATTTCCTCTATCATTATCTTCAACACCTGAAATTCTCTCTTCCATCTCTTGTATTCTATTGTTTATGCTTGCATTTGTGGTTCCTGATTGTTTATCCAGATTTTTTGGATCCAATTTTCCTGATTGATTATCCATTCCCTCAGATTGTGTTTTGTTTATTGACTTTATTTCAGATTTCAAGTCTTGAATCATTCCCTTCACTTGTTTGATTGCTTTTTCTTGGTTTCCTTTAAGGGATTTGTTGATTTCTTCTAATTTTTTGGTTATCTTTTCCTCCATTTCTTTAAGGGAATTTTCTTTTCCTCTTTAAATGCCTCAATCATCCTCATAAAGTTATTTTTTAGGTTGTTTTCTTCTGCTTTATCTGTGTTGGAATGCTCAGGTCTTGCTGTTGTAGCACCACTCTAGTGGTGCTCTATTGCTCTTTATATTGTTGAGTGTGTTCTTTACCTTGTTGTCTACACATACCTTTCTCTAATCAGTATAGGTGGAGCTTTGCTTCAGGGGGTCTCTCTTTCTCTAATTGGTATAGTTGGGGGCTGTGACTCCATGACAATTCAAACAAACAAACCATGCACAAACAAAGCAAAGCAAAGCCTCTGGTGAACACTCCCCTGGTGGAAGTGGGCCCTAGGCTCAGGTGGTCGCTCCTTGAGGTGCAAGTAGAGCTATAGCTGCAGCAGATGCTCTTCCCTTTGGAGGTGGGGCCACGGCTTCAGTAATTGTTCTTCTAGGTGTAGGTGGGGCTGAGGGCTCAGTGGTTGATGTAGCAGTGGGGTATCTCCAACAGAGAAATGGCAGTGGATGCTGGCTGGGACACAGATGCTCTTTCCCAGAGGAATGTCTTGAGGTAGTTTCTGAAAGCTACTGCTAGAAACCACTGCTGTTGTCTCATCTGGTGGTTGCTCGCTGATCCTGGGTCTGAGGCTCGGGCCTCCCTTTGACACTGCTTCCAGGTTGATCTTGATCAGTATCTTCAGCACAGATTGGAAAAGGTTATCAGATGACAGGTTCCTCCTTGTTCCCTCTCATTCCTCTCTGTATGCTAACTTCCTTGTGCAGTCTGGAAACCCACAAACTCTTTTAACTTTGAGATGAACAGTTCAATTACAATCTAGAATTTTTCTTGAAATATTTGGTTGTAAAGTTTACCACCGTGGTTACCACCTTGTCTACTTCAGTTCTTGAGGTAGTGAGCACTGAATTCCCATTCTTAATGTTTCATATAAGCACTGGTTGAGACTAAGTCATGTCAACACTTTGAGGTCATAGAAGTCAACAGAGGTTCCATGTGGAGGTCAGGTGTTGGTGTTTCCCTTGCTCTATTTACCAGGCCTGGAGATCCATGTTGCCCCAGCAACCCTGCATCTGACAGCTATTCCTCTGTTCTATGCTATATTGGACTCATGTGTCATGTCACTGAACACATGGCTTCTGTGCCCTGCCATGCATTCTGGGAAAGATAAGCTCACTAGAGGAGCATGGAAGCTTGTCAGTTCATGCCCTATTCATGTCTCAATATGATGTAAAAACTGATGATTTTGAAGATTTGAAACCATGGTTAAGAGAAAGGAATCACTCCTGAATACTGCTTACAAATGAGATTCCAGTAAAAAGCAGCAACTTCTCCTTGCAAGGAGGTTAGGAGTTTTTCAAGTGGTTAGAAAATTTCACCTGTCTGGAGTGGCTGAAGAGCCTACTTCAACTGGCCCGTTGAGCTTGTTATATTGAGGACTCAGTAGGGGTCCTATCCCAATCCTAAGGTTAGCTATCTTTGCATACAGATTTAAGGAGCTAGACATTGAACATGAGCTATCTAGAGCCCCTGTGTGTGTGTGTGTGTGTGTGTGTGTGTGGTTCTTGGTGTGTCCTTGTTATGGGCTGCAGGCTGAAATCAACTTGTGCTGATCTTGTGTACATTCTATGTTATCTGAGGTCTATGCGGGCTGGAGAAGCAAGAAGGAAAGGAGGGGCAAGAGAGAGTGCCCTAGCAAAGATGGATAGGAAACTATCTCCAAAAGTTTCCTGGAGATGAGGTGTGGTGTCACTTTGCTGCTGTCGACCTGCTACTTTCTGGCTGGGCATTGTGTCCTATGCTCCAGGAGTAGGATACAGCAGGAGACTATGTGGCAGTAGGAGACTCTGGCCTCCGTCTTCCTGAAGATGTTCTGCCTTGACTTCTTTGTATCCAAAGAAAATTCCTTTAAGTACATCAGCAGTATCTTTGGGTCCTATGTATTTGCCAGGTGCTTAGCATACAGTCAACATGTGACTAATGATGATTTGATAGAGTTTCAATTGTTGAAGTTTTTAGATTGAAGATTTTGTTCTGGGACATGTGTGGGTTCCTGGAGGCCCTGTTCCCCAGATCGCACTGGTCCAAGCTAATCCTTCATATACCATTCCTGGGGACATTTGTCATCCACATCTATTTTATTGTCATATGACTTCTGTCTCTTTTCAAATGCCTGGAACAAAGGAAGCACTGTTCCTGGCCAGTCTCAAGCAGGGTGATTATGGGAAGTCAAAGCCAAGAATTTCCTGTCTGATCACTGTGTTCTCCAAATACCCATGGGTACCATGTTATGATAAATCTCAGCTCTGAAGCTGTAGGTTAATAGGACCTATTCATCTGCCTGGCCTAGGGTGTCCTCATCACCCTCCTGATCTGCAGGTCCTGCTATGCAATGGCCAAGGGGAAAGAGGGAGATGGATAGCAACCCCATCTGGAAAGCCAACTATGGGATTTGGTTTCTTGTCTCACTCGAAAGTACAAAGTGCATAATGCTGGATCTCTAGAGCCTGGCTTTGCAGGGTTCCCAGATCTTTCTACCTAGGGCCCCTGTGATCACCTCAGTCTTTCTGTGTCTAGGTGCCCAGTTCCAGGCTGTGTGGGGCTTGGCCACATCAGCGGCAAATATGCCTCTCACAGGAGTGCTTCTGGCTGCCCATTGGCTGCTCGGAGGCAGAAAGAGGGTGCTCTCAATGGTTCATCTTTCTCCTGGAAATCGCTGAAGAATGAGGGCCCTACTTGCCCAACCCCAGGCTGCGACGGCTCTGGCCATGCCAATGGCAGTTTCCTCACCCACCGGAGGTACCTGTCAGCAATCAGGGACATTTTGACTGGGACATAACCCTTGGGGGTGGGAGCAAATCAGTACTCAGTGGGATCAGCAGTTCTGCAAGGGAAAGCAAGACCCAAGTAGGCAGTTGAATGAGAGAAATCATGGAGGCTGTTGGTACCAGATGGTGTTTGTTTTGCTTTCAGAATGTGTTTGTTCTCATAAGTGTCCCTCTGTGCACCAATGTTTATTTTCCCTATCAGCAGTGCTATGCTAAACATGGAGACCATGAATGAATAGACTACTGTCTCTGCCCATATTTGACTTCCTGTACTTTGTGTCCTGCCTCTTACACTGGGGCATATTTTTTGTTTGTTTTTTGTTTTTTTAAATTTTGGGCAAAGGCACTTGCTTGCTTTGCAAGGGACCTGGTAACTATCCCTCTTCTTGCCTAGACAGTGCTCAGTCTATCACCTGCCCACAATATCTACGACAGGGCTGAATTGGCCTTGTTTCACCAGACCCCCTTCTACTCTGTTCTAAAAAGCCCCTAATCCGTATCTAATAACCTTCATCTGGAATGAAAGCCAATGCCTAATCTCTTTTTTATTCCTCTCTCCCTTATTTCTTCTTCCATCAACAAAGTTAGTTAATGCATCCATAAAAAAAAACATTTACAGAGAGTTCACCTAACATCAAGGAGTAGAGACAGAGAAGAAAACAACAACAACAAAAAACAACCATCCTTTGCCCTTTTGTGTGTGTGTGTGTGTTGGGTCAGGTGGGTGAGGACAGATAGTATAAACAAACGAGAGTTATTGAATCTGGTGAATGGTGATCAGGAATCAGATGAAAACAGCAGAGTAGTGGGCAAAAAAAAAGTACTCTGGTGAAAAAGCCAGATGCTTACTCTCCCTGAGATGTGTGTAGGACAAGCCTTAACATACCTGGAACTGAGGAGGGCCTGGTAAACCTACTTGATAAGGTGACAAAGGAAAGGAGGTAGAAGTTTGTAAGCAAGTATCCACTCAATTGCCTCTGACAGTGACGGACCTAGTTGGGAGTACAGAAAAAATGGGGTCTCATTTGGGCAGCTGTGGAAGTCAGAGGATATAGAGCATAAGGGAAATGCCTAGAAGGCCAGAGACGAGGCTGTAGGAGCCTGGGCCATGTGGGCAGGGTAGTTGAACTCTATGCTTCCAAAGTACATTCCACTTAGTGTCCACTTTGATTTATGATTTATGATTTATGATGTGGATGAAATTATTACACAAACATGAAGTCATGTGTGATAATTCACATGCTTTTATATGTTTTTTTCTGCTTGAGTAGCTATATTCAAGAAATCACCTGTGAATACTGATACATACATATCCTGAAGGATTTCTGGGCTGGGGCAGGGTTGGTTCTGAGGACCCCTCTCAGGTTCAGTGCTACAGAGTGCTAGAAGGTGGGGGCATGCTGGCCTCAACCCTTGTCCAGAGAGAAATAACACCTGGAGGCAGCAATGCCCTAGTTTCTTTAGGCCCCGTGGACAGCCGTGACTGTGCCAAACAGGAAGGGCTCTGAGAGGGCACCTTCCTGGGCCCCTTTCCTGGAGTACAGCCTTGCTCACCAGGCAGGGCAGGCAGCTGATGTGAAGCAGTGCCACCACAGAGAGGCATGCAGGCTCATCTGGGTGAGGTGTGGTACTGATGTAGGATCCTGGACCTGCCAATGCACTATGTCCCTGAACTAGTCAGTGATGTATAACTTCTGCTTCTAGTTTGTCTGGCTGTCCCAGAGCAACCTTTGCTGGAAAGAAAGGAAAACTCTCAGGTGATGAGATTCTCAGTCCAAAGTTCAAGACAAGTGATGGTGAGAATGCCCTTTTGGAATGTCCCTTCTGATCATTTTCTCTGTACTGTAGGAAGGATATGGGGATGCTGAGCTTCCCTGAGAATGATCCATGGTAGAGATAGTTCCTGCCCTGAGCCAACTGGCCTGTTAAACTTAGCCCTGAAGTTTTCAATGCCTGGGTCAAGGACCTCAGGGTTCACTTGATGGCCATGTTCATTCTGACCTTTGGTTTGGTGACTATATGGGTCAGAGTCTGATAGGAGGGCACCAAAAATCATGTCCATGAGTTTGTGGACAGTGTGGCCCCTCTCACTTAGGCAAGGAGATTCTCTTTGATGCATTTCCCTTTGTTCATAGCAGTTAATGTCTGTGAAGAGACCTGTGCATCCTGCAAAGGTCAAGGCATGAGGAAAATAACACTGTTTTCAGTTTCCAAGATTTCCCAATATCCATGCTCAAGAGAGGAGCTCAGGGCTTGGCAAGAGGCTGCACAAAGACTTCACTTTCTGTCTCCAAAGCAGTTGGACAGAGCCGTAGCTTTCCTTCCTTCCTTCCTTCCTTCCTTCCTTCCTTCCTTCCTTCCTTCTTTCTTTCTTTCTTTCTTTCTTTCTTTCTTTCTTTCTTTCTTTCTTTCTTGGCAGTGCTGGAGAATGATGAGGAGATCAAGCAGCTGAATCAGGAGATACGAGACCTGAATGAGTCCAATTCAGAGATGGAGGCTGCCATGGTACAGCTGCAGTCTCAGGTAGGTGGCACTACTCCACTTGGCTTTTCCATGTCATCCAGAACCAATCTGTAGATTGCTGCTTCCATCAATATCACTGGTGATGAAATGGTGGAAACACAGCACACAGTGCGCTGGTTAGCTGCCCACTCACTGCACTGCCTGTGAGTGGCTAGTGTTAGTGATCCTCTGGATCACTCCATTGGCAAGAACAATCTGTTAGTATTCTGGCTTTGCTAGTACTGGTTGTCCAATTCATGATTCCAATGTTATTAGCATTGCCAGCTCATCTGTTCTGTTCCTGCCAGTGGCAGGGCTTGCCCATCCCCACCTAAAGAACTTCTCAATAGAATGTGGGTTAGATTAGAACCTTTCCGCTCCCTTGTTCAAGACTTGTTCTTGGAGGAAAGCTTTAGTGTTGAGTGCTGGTGAGCATGGCTGTTGCTTGGCTGTTGCTGTTGTCCTATCTTCTAGCTGCTCAGTGGGTCTAGAGCAGAGCTAGTGTTATGTGGATGTTCCCTAATGTGTGGAGAAACAAAGAACAGGAAATGTACACAGAACCCATCAAGGGCAGAGAGGACAAATAGGAAAACAGCAGGTCCTTTTCTGGAGGCAGCAGTCACAACATGTTCCATTCCTCATGTCTTGATCTAGTTTCTCTGTGGGCTAATGCCATATCAAGAGCCTGTGTATATGAAGCATCAATCATGGAGTTAGAAAGAGCTTGTACTTTATGTCCTGTACCTGTTGATGTGTTATCCCCAGGATCACTGGAAGTGACAACAGGAGGGAAAGAGACTTTTATCTGGGACCATCACCATTCTCTAGCTATGTCTCTGGATATGATACAGTATAGTATAGGTCATCTCTCAGAGTCCCCAGAGCCTTCATTCTATGATAGCAAATCTTATTTCTCTATTTGTTAAAACTCATAATTTTTAGACTTAGTTTTGTTAAAGATTTCATTTTTGTTTTAATTACATACATTTGTATGTATATGGATTTGTGCACATTTGTGCATTGCTCAGAAGAGAGCTTTGAATCTCCAGGAGCTGAAGTTAAAGAGATTATGAACTGCCTGATGTAGGTGCTGGGAACTGAACCTAGATCCTCTCCAAGAGCAGTACATACTCTTAACTTTTGAGTCATCTCTCTAGCTCTTTAGATTTATTTATTTATTTACTTATTCATTATTTATTTATTTGTGTGTGTGTGTGTGTGTGTGTGTGTGTGTGTGTGTGTGTGTGTCTATGGAGGCCAGAGATGTCAGATATCCCTGAAGCTAGTTACAGGCAGTATTGAGTCACCTGTTATAGGTGCTAGGCTCCAAATTTAGGTCCTCTGAAGCCATCTTTCTAGCCTCAAAACTCATTTTTAAAGAGCCTGGTGTGGTGGTACTCAGCTACTCAGGAGGCTGAGGCAGGAGGACTGTGTGAGCTCATAGGTTTAAGAGCATCCTGGACAATACAGAGAGATAGCACCATCATTACACCATAAAACAAAACCTATCTTTAAAATACTGATTACTTCTTTTTACTCCCATTCCTTTGGAAGTCCTAGCCATCTATTTGGCTGAAGGAAAAGGAATGCAGGTCTCTAGAACTACTTTAGTTATCACGGGTAGAGCAGAGCACTCAGCCTCATCTGCAGCTTCTAAAGGGAGCTCACTGTCCTTGTCTCAGGTCACACATTGTCTTCCCATAAGTTCAGTCTTTTACTTCTTGAAGATGTACAATTAAGTCCAGGGCTATCTTTTAACACTAGGAACCTCAGAAACAGCATAATTCTATGTAAGTTCATTGCCAGGGTATGGGAGATGAAGACATTTGTTTGTATTTAGCCTGGAGACAATGTGCCTGGAGCCGAGGCAGTTAGCTCACTGGTATTTGTGGGAGGAAAATATTCAGAGGTGGGGCAACCTAATACCCACAAGTTGAATGCAATTATTCTTATCCTACAGAAAGTAACAGAAAGCCTGGAAATGTAAGAGCACAGCTGGAATGGGCTGAGATTGAGCTCAGGGTGCCTTGGAGTCTGTGCTTTCACACCACCACTAGGGTGGACAAGGCAGAGAAAGCCACATGTACTTCATACTTGGTACTTGGTATACCAGTTCCTACCTCCTTTGGACAGAGGCTACTTCCAAAGGACCTTTGCTCTCTCCATTCAAGGACCAGGGCTCTATCATCTCTTCCCCTGGATGGGGTACCCCACAGGGAGCAGGACCAAGCCTCTTTCCCACTAAAGAGCTTTGTCTTTTGCTAGAATACTGTGAGGCATGGCCAGTGCTTTCACAGCAAGCCAGGGCCAAGGGAAGGTAGCATTTTCTATGTCTCTGCAACAGATCTCTTCCATGGAGAAGAACCTGAAGAACATTGAGGAGGAGAATAAGCTCATTGAGGAGCAGAATGAGGCCCTGTTTCTGGAACTGTCTGGGCTGAGCCAGGCCCTCATCCAAAGTCTTGCCAATATCCGCCTTCCACACATGGTAGGCAGCAAATCACCTGTGGGTATTACAGATGAGCTGGAAGATACCCTAGGGACAGTTCAAGGGTAGAAGAGTGGGTATACTTTACTACTATGGTTATGAGTCCTGAGGGAAAGATCCTGGGGGAAGGGTCCCAACTCCTTGCAGTGTTCTAAGTGCTATGATAGGCTAGTTAGTTGTTGGTTATGGATCTAGTCCTGAGTAGCTCATGAATTGGGGTAAAATTGGGTTCTAATGATGGTGAGTTTTGTTGCTATGATTTTTAGTTTTAACAGGGGTAGATTAGACCTGGGGTTGAGGCTTTCCAACTAGTTTCTACTATGTGGGGTCCACTGTAGTAGAGCCTGCTAACCTGGTTTTATTCTCTAGGAGCCAATATGTGAACAGAATTTTGATGCCTACGTGAACACCCTCACTGACATGTACTCCAATCAGGACTGCTACCAGAACCCAGAGAACAAAGGCCTTCTGGAAACTATCAAGCAAGCTGTGAGGGGCATTCAGGTTTAGGCTGCACTGCGCAGAGGAGTTCCTGGAGTCCCTGCTCTGCTCCTCACAGTGGGGACTTCTGACTTATAGCTACTTCTAATTGGCAGCCTGGGTGGAGCCTTGGGCAGTTTACCCAAAGGGGAGCCTGGAAATCAGTGTCTCCTATGATGTCCCCATTAGACCCAGGCATGAAGACCTCTCTATGTGAGTGCCTGGGGACAATGAAGTATTACAAAGTGATTTATTTTTGCTTTTTGAAAGAAATCTGAAGAGCAGCTCCAAGTCTCCAGTGGAAGCTCATGGATAAGGTTCTCAGGGAAGTTTTGGAGTTTGCAGCCACAGTATTCCATTGTCTGTTGAGGTTGGGAGGGCAGCCATGGACTTGGTGGGTATTAGTCTCAGTAGGAGGGCATGCCTAGGCTTCTGGCTATGCTCACTGAGGCCCATGTGGGCAAGTAAGTTTTGTGTTTTCATTTAATTCAGCTTTGTGTTAAAGGTGCACAATGCTCTGCTTCAGAGGTGAATCTAGGAACAGGCCTTCCAGATGGCAGTCTACACAGTTGATGAACATCATAGAAAGTCAGCTGAAGGTATTTTTCACTTGGAGGCCCTGAAAATCAGCCTCTTGCTTGGGCAGCAGATGCCTGTAGGCCATGTAGATCTGCTTCCTCCTGGCCCCAGTATTTAAGCCCCTGGCCAGGGCTCTAAGTCCAGGACCACTGGGCCAGGCCTCTGGTTTCTGTACTTTCACCTAGGTGCTATACCCATCATTGTTATTATTTCCCGCGTAGGCTTACTCTGTATTCAAGGTGACTGAGATGGGGACAGTGAGATCAGAGGTTAATTGTTAACGGGAGTCCACCAAGATTCCACTTCTTTTTTAGATCCATTCAAGATGTGAAAGGGGTAAAATTTAATTTAATGTGTTAAAAACACAATGTTCTTAACGTGTAAATAGAGTCCAAGTCAATTGTGACTGCAATTCCAAATTAGTATTTAAAAGTAGAGAAATTGCACTTCCTGGAAGACACTGAAAGTAGCTAGTTTATTCTGTAAATTATTTAATTTTGTCATGATATAAGTATTTATATTCATACCCTGTTATGTTAATGTTTGGTATTTATTATTTTTATTTATTAATTTTATACTATTTCAACTAGACTACACACTAGGGCACCATAAGAGTTACATAAGTTAAATCAAAACAAAAACATTTATTTGACTATAAGATAGGCCACAAAGAATCTTGATATAACTCCTAGTTATAATTTTGATGCAACTGAGTTATTTTTTATATATTTTGTTATTTATTCTTTTAATAATGGAATTTTTTAAAAAAGTATTTTGTAACTGAGGAATTTTGATAATTTGGGTTTTTTCCCCATTGGTCCAGCAGAGAGAAAGGTGTTCTGGTTTTCTTTTTCCCTTTGGGTTCCTTTTGTCAGGACAATAACAGCAAATGGAATTCTGTATTTATTATTATTTACGTGTAGTGCAGATGTGTGTGCTCTGGTGTTTCTTGTGTTGCATTTGTGGAGGTTCTTATGGATGATTCATGTTGCTGTGAGGGATTGCTGGCCATGATCAGTTCTAGGCAGTTGCCTGGACTCACTGGCCAAGCTGCCCAGGACCCTGATACTCCAATACTGTGACCCTCCTTCCTCAGGAAACACGTTGGACCCACAGTACTTCGTGGTGTGTTTGGAGGGTGATTTCTAATAAAAGTCTCACTGTGCATAGGTGCTATGGTCTGTGAGGAGGCTGCTACTCTGCTCCCCGTGCTTCAAGGAGTATAGTGTGGGTGGTCATTAAAAGGCTCTTCCATTTAAGTCTTTCATCAGTCAACATTTCTGCTGGACCTGCCTTCCCCCAAGTGTTGTTCTTCAAGGTCTAACTCACTGCAACTTACCTTTTCCCATGATTCTGGAGTGTCCAAATCATGTTTGTTTTTTCTCCCAGGAGTTTTCTTTTAGAGTCAGGAAGAAACAGTCATCCTACTTGAGTTTCTAGATTAGGGGTATGAAGTGTACCTGTACTTCCAGATCATCTTTCTTAGCCATGAGTGGATGAGAGTTTAGACATTCTGGAGGGAGGCAGAGGTAAGAACTGAGTTAGAAGGTAGAAGAGAGAGCTCTCTGATGACCTCAGAACTATTAGTCATGCCTGAACACAATCTACTCTTGGACTTCCTCTGTGTGAGGCAGTGTGTTCCTTTTATTTGTTTTAGCTCTTGTGCTTTGGCTTTTTTGCCCTTCAGAGGCACCTTTCCACTGTTACACTTTAGTAACAGGTGGATTTCTAGTTTTCCCAAGTTCACATTTGCATTTAAGACAAGTCAGATTCAACCTGACCTCTCTGGGAATGTTGCCTAGAGTTCTTCTGATATATAGACAGAACCCATCTTTCCTGACAAATTCTTAGAAGCTCTGGGTTTTATTTCCAGCTTCTGTTACAGTCAGATAAGGCCCTGGTTGCTGGGACCATACACAAGTGAACCATGCAGAATCTGCATAACTGTGAGGAAGAGCTTCTGGGGATTTCCTTTATCAAGGCTATACTACAGATAGTAGTGGTCTGGGGTTGCAACCCTTCACATGTACATAGGTGTTGTGACATGGGCCAGAGTGTGGGCAAGCAGAGCTCTGCTGCAAACTGAGCTCATCCTAGGTTATGGAAACTGAGAACTATAATGGTCCTTAATGGAGTAAAAGAGGAGAGGGTGTTGCCAGGACTCCAATATCCAATATGGCTGCCCACTGAGGTAAGTAGCTGAGACTAGGACTATGGAAGAATGAGATGCCTTGGGAGGAAAGGCTTATGTCTGCCCTCATGTGAGAATGACAACCTTGTATTTGGGTCATTACCCCTATTCTATCACTGCCCACAGTTTTCTTTCTTTTGATTTTGAAGTGTTCTTTAGGCTGTCATATACTGTCAAATACTACATGTCAGGGGAACTGCCCACCCCAGTCTCCAACCTAAAGCCTCTTTATAATCATACACAGCAAGAACAAAGAGCCTAAGAAACACAAGGGTTTACTTAAAGAACTTCCAAATAATTCCAAAGAGCCCCAATGCCAAAAAAATCACCAGAGTCTGTGAAAGTAGTTTGTGAAGGGCAGGAGCATATCCCACGTGAGTTTTGTTAAGATTTGATGACACATCTGTCTGCTCCTGTCTTTGTGAAGCTTTCAAGTACTAAACATAACTAAGAACACATTGTAGGGGGAGGAAGACTCCAGAGGTCATTGTTACAGCTGTAGTGGGTATGTGTGTATGGGTCACAGAGGACTTTAGAAGAGACTTGTGGGCAACTGAGGAAATAATAGTACCTAGTCTCAGGTTCTAAATGAAGTCCTGGTCTGTCTGATGCACAACTACTTTTAGCAGCAGCTCCAGCCCAGGGGTGGCCAGGAATTGAGCAGTTGGAGGCCATGACAGTATGATCAAATCTTCCTTTGGCTTCCCTAAGATGTGTGGTTGTTAAAATTGCTAATGGAAGCAATGTTTGGGATCTGGCTGATGGTTTGTCATATAGGGAGTTCTTAGAAAGAGAAATCCTAGGGAAGAGAACCCTTTATTTTTAAAGAGGTTCAAGTGTTTGGAAAATTATTTTGATCCTATAGATCTTTTGGAGTTTTCCACACCCTTTTCTACTAGTTTTAGGATTCTGGGAGGAATTGGGAGCCTCATGTTGGGGCTCTCAAATCTTAGTGTCTTTTTTTTTTTTTTTTTTTTACTAAAGTGCTCAGCTTTTGGGCACTACAATACCCTGGGCTCCTGATGGTTAAGTCCACTGGACTTAGCAGGCCTAGACCTGGACCTGGCTCTACAGGGCAAGCAGTTCTTCCAGCCTCAGGAAGGTGGAAACATGGGTGTTAGAAAGATGCACAACACCATAGTTGGCAGTGGCATGAGAGGTTCACCACTGGGAAGAAGCCTTTCCTCCCAATTTGTAAATATCCTCTTACTCTTTCAAGAGAATAAACATCTAGTTTTTCTACAGGGGAGGGATCATTCTACAATTGTGGTTGGGACCTGAGGATCTTCAGTTTCTGAAAACATTTGGCAATATCATCTTTCTTTGAACACCTGTGCATCTCTAGCAGAACCTAGTGTTGCTAGTTCTTGGGGTGGGGGTGGGGGTGGGGATTTAAAGGCTAGATTGTGTTGGTTCTGAGCTTCCTATACTCTGGCTAGAATTCAGCATTTTGTGCTATTTGTCTTCCATTGAAAAGTTTTCTGGCCTCTGAATACATTATTGCCTCCTCTCCCACCTCCCCATCCCTAAAGTATACTACTTAAAAGCTGTTATTTAAGCTGGGTAGTAGTAGCACATGGCTTTAATCCCACCGCTTGCCAGGCAGAGGCAGGTGAATTTCAGTGAGTTCCAGGATAGCTTGTTCTACATAATGAGTTCAGGGCTACACAGAGAAACCTTATTTCAAAAAACCAAAACCAAAACCAAAACCAAGGCCAGAACAAACAAATAAAGCTGTTATTTAGATGAGTTTTGAGAAGAAGTGAAAAAAGTACATTTGAATATCTGCTCTCTCTCTCTCCAATTGGATGCTCAAGGTCACCAGCAGGAGCCTGCTCCTTATACAAAGAAAGATCATCTTAATGTGGGATCAGCACCTTCATGACTGACTGGAGCCTCAGGCTTAGGATGACTTGCCCATTAACTACTTATAAGTGGTCCATTGGGGACTAATACATTACAGGCATGAAAGGGTTCCTACTTAGCTGATTGTGGACCTTGTAATGAAGATGGAGTCTACTACTCAGGGGTTGCAATCTCTGTGCTGTTCCCTTTGCTATACCTAAGAGGAGGGAGAGTATGGACTTTGTCAATAAGAGCTTCAGAATAAGTTAAAGATAGTAGAACCCTCAGGATCCCTTATGACGACTGTGGGATATCTCAGCCAGTTTGAGGCTGCTGACTTGACAGAGCAGTGCTCCATGCTGTCCTTCCTAGCCTCTCCTGTAGTCCCTGCCTCAACTGCTTTCTCTCAGTGTCT